AGGGATGATTATGTACATATATTACTTGGAAAAAGGAGCCATTAACACGCTGTTAGTGGGTAGTTTGTATTGAACTTGACTATTTTATTATGGAAGTTGAATGACATAGAGTTCTTGTGAATATACAATGGGCTAAGAGTGGATTTCACCAATCATAGTATAAACACGTTCAAGGAAATGGAGTTCAGCGTAAACTCGAAAAAAAGAACGACGTTGATCTCGTTTTACTTTAAATGGAATCACCAGCGTTATATAGATCGCGTTTACCGAAATGAAGTTTAGATTTTAATTTTTTATTTTATTTAATAATTTACGGCTCTGGATACAAGTCCTTTTTAGCCCAACATAAAATACAAAACCTTAAAAAAATTTATAATTTCTTCCCAGTGTTGGAAATAAATTTATATAAAGTCTTGAATTAGATTTTCATTCGTTCACAGTGTTACACGCTCATAAAATAATATTTGATGCAATGGGTTAACTAAAATAATTTAAAGAAATATTTGTAATTCAATTGTGTGTTAATTAGGATAGTTTTTAGTTTTTAATTTAATAAGTACCGTCGGCTACAAAATATATAACAACAGTCTTCACCTATAAAAAAGGTAAAACATTATTTTATTGAGGATTTTTTTTACACTACTGGCAATTTTCTTTTTATACCCTGTATTATACTGTTCCAAATTTGATAGGTGACTGTTTGACAACTGACAGCTGCTTTAAATACGTTTAAAGAGTTAACCGTAGGGAATCGGGCGTTCAGAATTTATAAACGTGTTTAGCGAAATTTGTAGGGGTGAAATGAAGCTTTGAACACGTTTAAACGTTTTAATGGCGTTCAGTTCGAACTAAACGCGATCAGTTTCTATGGTGAAATCCGACCTAACTCACTTAAGTTCATGCTCAACTTATCATCCTTCACTGGTGCTAGCGTATAATGTTAAAGCATGTGCACCATTCCATTAATAATAATAATTATGAGACAGGATGATAATGTGATAATGATAATAATCATGCATCATCACGCAAAATAAAGTAACGAGAGCATGTCCCGTCCTTGGTACTAATCAATAACTTAAGCTGTGAAAAAAGAAAATAATAATAATAATAACTCAGAACAATTCACACGCCGCCAATGGGCTAGGATAAGCCCAGGCTAAGCAGAATTACGAAGCATGTATTATGGGTACTTGATAACTGATATAAATACTTAAATACATTTTATATACATACATACAGTTACATAGAAAATAAACCTTCATACACATGATACAAATGTGTAAGGAATCGAACCCGCGACCAATAGAAATGAAGCGGTGTGCTAATTCACTACACCAAAGAGGCCGCCATTCCATTATCATCCATTGAAAGTAAAACGAGCGGGCATGTAATCAATATATTAAGAAACCTTAAAAATTTTCAGTTTTCACTTTGTTTCATGGTGTAAGTGGTTTTAATAAGTTTTCAGTTTCATGAATATAGTTTTCGGTTTGGTATACCTTTATGATTAAACTCTATAAGCAAGTAGCTGTACCCGCGACTTCGCACGTGTTGAATAGCGACCTTGCCAAAGAAAAATTGTCTTTCAACCTCTTACAACCCTTTTTACGCATTAAAAAGTAGCCTATGTCCTTTCTCAGGATCTAAATTATCTGTGTCATCATTTCAGCCCGGAAGACGTCTACTGCTGAATAAAGGTCGCTTCGGTAGTTTGTTGTGAAAGCAAGATAGACAGACTTACTTTTTTTTATGGATGATAATGGTATGGCGCACCCGCCTACGCTAACGGTTTACGCTGGCGGGTCAGTTAGCCCATCGTGATATCATCATCATCATCATCTGCTTCTTCCTTATCCCATTTATTTGTGGTCGGCGTAATATGTTGTTCTCTTCCATTCATCCCTGTTCGCAGTCATCGCGTTATTTACTTCCTTTCTTACCATATCTTTCACACAGTCCGTGATATATTTACCAGAAATTTATAACGATGGTTTCCAGGGGGAACCGCGTGGTGATCAACCTGACATGGTACATTGCTAGTAATGGAGTCATGAGTCCACATTACTAACAATCCCCTTCCCCCCCGACAGACTTACTATACTTTTGCATTTACATTATAAACTTTTACATTCCGTACAAAAGCGTGTACGATTATTTGATTACAATTTTTAAAGCTCATGATTTTCATATATTATTTATAATACTAGGTTTTAATTGTTTTAAAGATGTAAATAAACAGTATATTTTGCCCATTTATAATACTAGTAAGGATATAGATTAATAATTTATCAATGTCTATTAAAAATTGTTGTATCACGACCAATTGCAAAGGTTATCCACTTTCGGAGTCATACCACTTTTATTGAGATACACACAGATACGAGAATATTACAGAGATAGTAAGCGAGATCCGCATATTGTTATCTAGGGGCAAATTTTTATGGCTGATAATGGAATGGTGCACTTGCCCGTGTTGACGGTTTATAATTCAAAATTTAAAATATATTTATTCATGTAGGTCTATTACAGACTCTTATGATATGTCAAATCTACCGTCAGTTCGGAATGATTTCGAGGTGAGAAGAACTGACAAGAAACTCAGCTTGTATTTTTTTAAATGTACATATTTATAATAATACTATTTCATTTAAATTCAAATTTGGGAGAATAGAGTGACCACCAGCATATGCTATATAAAAAAAAATCAAAAAATCTAATCAGTGATCGCAACCTGAACAGACCAGTCCCGACAAGCAGCACCCGTTCACGAGTATGACGGATGAGCCAGCCATCATTGCGCTCAACCATATTAGAGGGAGCATCAACCCGGCCCACCACGCCTCCACAAGCTTGAACTTTATAGCGAGCATGACTGTTTCAAGTTACTCCACTACGTCATTTATATTATTTACAGCATAAACTGTACCAATGACAGTTTTCATCCATTAATTTAATGCTTTATTTGTAATTACTGCACTATCTAAAACAATGTACAATTGGCGAGCTTAATGCCATATGGCATTCTCTACAAGTAAAGCATTGACTAAAAACAGAAAGCGGTTGAAGGGCAGTAATTGGCAAAAGACATACTATTTGTATTTACCTAACTTAGGTATATATGCAACGGATTTCAGGACTTAGGTGGACCACTAATTGAACATAATGATTTTATTTTTATATTTTGTCACCATACAGATTTTATTAATATTTTTAAGTACAGTACTTACGTACATTAATAAAATACCTACTTTTTACTTTTATTGTTATCAAAATTAAATTATAAGTTCTTGACTTGACCACGACTATGTGACCCCCTCCTGGCGCCAAAGCTGGATCCGCCCTTATATATATGTCAATAGCAATATGCTTATATAACAATAATATATACGTACTAAAATACTTGCTATGACAGGTATATGTATATACTTATTTACCATACTTATTTGATTATATGTATATATTTATGCCAAAGTAGGATCCGCCCTTATATATATGTCAATAGCAATATGCTTACATAACAATAATATATAAGTACTTAAATACAGGTACACACAGGTACTATATATTTTTACTTACCACGACATTATAACATTAAAAGGAGCAATACATAATAATTGATGTTATAGTCTGTTTTTCAATCCCGGAGACTAAATTGACAGGTGAGATGACCTATAGCGGGGTATCTATTTATCTATCTATCTATCTATCTACAAACCAACATTTTTTTTCTTTCAAACAGCTAAATATTTTATGTGTTTGTTTTATGATATAAATTATAAAAAGTTCATTTGTTTTATAAAGAATGCAGTTAGTCTTTATTTTAGTGAAAATAAAAAATATTTTTTGATACAACAACCTATATATTTATTAATACCTAGACTTTATTAATTTTGTATTAATGTTAACTTTAAATAAAAATGGGTAATTAATTCATGAATATTGTATCGATCTGGGTATTTTTATGTCTAATGTGTATGTATTTACGAAAACAAAACATCTATGTATTTGTATCAGTTATCTAGTACCCATAACACAAGCTTTAGCTAGCTTAACTTAAGTCTAGATGTGTGAATTGTCCTGAGATTATTATTATTATAAGTTAATATTAATTTCCGATAGTGCCAAATAGTGGTGGAATATCATATCCGATAGTGGAAATGTCAAAATTTTCTTCGAGATTAAAAACAGACTATAGTTACTTAACTAGGTAATCAAATGACAGACAGTTCCGCAATACTAAATGTACACTTCTATGTATTTTTCACTTCGATTTTATGTGCACACAATATGGTGGTTCTTTTTAAAAATCAGTAGGTAGGAGAGACTGTTATGGTTATGGTATAAATAAGAACTAATATCTTACTCAATAATAAACATGATTATATCAACTTCTGGACCATACATTCCATGTCATAATTATAATTAGATTTAATCTTTATATTTATATATTTACTTTACAGTTTATAAGCATAAATAATATGTAAGGTGCACTTGTATAAGATGATGACTTAGGCTTTGAAGCCGGCTACCGTAAGGAAAACCCCAAGTAGCGCCCGTGACTTGTGACACGGGTGTAGGTTTAAAGAGCCCTTCACTACTTGCAGCTTCCCCCCAGGCCCAACTAAGACCAGGATGAACCTATTACTAATACAATTCACTTTAGTATCCAAAACACAACCGGCACGCTCTGCACTCGTCGACTGAATGCCGCGGCTCACCCAACCAAAGAGGATTATTCAACTACCGACCTCCCTATTTATAGACCGAAGTTAGTGTAGTAGGGAGAGAAGCGGAGGTCGGTCTATAAATACTAGATGGCGCTATTTACCAAATAGATCATATTAGATACTCAATTATATTCATAATGTTACAAATATTTATTAAATAAAAATATATTGTGGTGATTATCTCACACAAACCAGATGGCGTTGTAGTCGCTGAAATCTTCTTTAGCGGGGCACGCCGGCGAACGGTCGCCGTTGGCAGTAATATATATTTACCTGTAAACCTCTGTAGTCTTCCACCACAGCGGTAGACCAATAATAAAGAGCACGCCGACGAAAGACGCGCTCGACCACATCCGATTCGACTCTGCAATTAAAATATCACTTTTAGTACATTTTACTATAAACAATGTATTGGGAATAGTAATATAATATGATCTCAATAATCTAACGCAGTGATTCCTAAAGTGGTCTATATCTGCCCCCAGGGGTCTATGACAAACTGCAAGGGGTCTACGACAGCGCTCATTTTGTTCTTTTTACTTTGTGTAAACTACTACTACTAACACTAAACTTTACTACAGTTAAAAAATGATAAAAAACCAATACAAAGTAAGAAAGGGGGGTCTACCCAAAACAAAAATATGGCAAGGGGTCTAGGACACAAAAAGTTTGGGAACCTCTGGTCTAGCGGGTCAGCACGCCGCCTTCCTGGTCGCAGGCTTGATTCCTCGCACAGTATAAATATTAGAATTTGGGTATTAATATAGTAATATTAGAATCTGGGTATTTTCCATGTATATCTTATATATAAAATTCTCGTGTCACAGCTTTCGTTCCCATACTCCTCCGAAACGGCTTGACCGATTCTCAGGAAATTTTGTGAGCGTATTGAGTAGGTCTGAGAATCGGCCAACATCTATTTTTCATCCCCCTAAATGTCAGGGGTAGTCCACCCCTAAATCTTTTATTTTTATTTTAAGGCAAAACAACGTTTGCCGGGGCAGCTAGTTATTTATATATTTACAAAAATGAAAATGTATTTAAGGATTTCTATCAGTCCTCTAGTACCCATAACACAAGTTCTACTTAGCTCTACTAGATGGCGCTGCGTGAAATGTTCTGAGGTCATATTAATATTATCATCCACAAAACAACAAACTAAACACACAAATCCTTTTAGTGAGCAAAACACAAAGAAACAAAGTGATTCAACTCGTCCGTCATTCACCCCTTTTGCGGTATGTGATATAAAAAAATATTTGGTTATGTTAATACATTGTAAACATAGCAGGCCGTGTCAGTTTTGGAGATCTCATTTAAACTCGTAATACAATCACTGCAGATACGCGGTGACAGGTGATAAGTCTCTCTGCATACATTTTTTTTATTTAGACAACTCACACAGCGCCATCTAGACCCAAGTTAAGCTAGATAAAGCTTGTGTTACGGGTACTAGATAACTGATACAAATACATGTTATTTTTTTTTTGTAAATTCATACATAGTATATATAGAATCACCCAGACCGATACAAACAATCATACTCATGAATACAAATGTTTGTGCCGTGCAAGGAATCGAACCCATCGGATATAAAGCGGTGTGCTAGACCACTATACCACCGAGGTCGTCATGTATCCATATTATATATAAGATAAGATCTTTTAAATTATTGTATTATTATTCACATTGTTTATTAGTTGGTTGGCTCACCCGTTATACTCTTGAAGGGGTGCCGTTTATAGATTGGTCTGCTCTGATAACTATGACTTATTTATTTTGTTATTCCAGTAATTAATTATTTACTTGTGTCAATTTTGCTCTGTCGCAGTTTGTCTTCACACAATATCTTAATAATGCTGTATAACATTTATTTAAAATAGCAACACGCAATTTTCTTGCTCACTCTTCTTGTGACGAATTTGCGTTGCAAATGAGAAAAAAATATGACTATTAAGAAGTGCTTATATAGTTTTAAAACTACTAGTTACGATGACGACTTAGGCCCTGATGCTGGCCACCGATGGTTCAGGGAGAGGACCCCAAGTAGTGCCCGAGACTTGTGACACGGGTGTAGGTTTAAAGGGCCCTTTTAGAATGCATTAACACTCACCTTCACTACTTGTGGTATCCTCCCAGTTCCAACTAATAAACCCCCCAATGCCTACAATATTCACTTTTACCTATATCTTATTTGTTTTTATAATAATATAAACACTTTAACCTTTTCGCTCCAAACTCCCGCTACGTCAGTTCAATCATCCATCAATCTACTTGTCAATGTCACAAAGATTATTTAGGCTCCAGCTTCTGCTGATTCGTTTCAGGTTACTCTGAATGCTTTATTTATTTATTTATTTTATTTATATAACTTCAATGCACAAAATACCAAGGTAAAAGTACATATGGCGGACTTAACGCCTTGGCATTTTTTACCACAGTTTGTGCAGAGAAACTGTTGCAAATATAAATCAATAAGAAAAATAATATCTATGTCATAAATAATATATATTTACTAAATGTAAGTACATGTAAACATACATATATAAATACATACAATATATATAAAGCTATAGATTATGAATAAAATACATACCTAAATATACCATATACACATCATATAACTTATAAATACATATAACATACTTAATAGTCTTACAATTAAATAGCAACAGCATATAGAACATAACAAACAAAAAAAAAAAAAAAACAAATTCAGCAACTATAACATAGAAAAGATGTACAAATAACAATGAGTCACGCAAAAAGATAAAATGGAAAACTATTCTACATAATATAAAAGTTATATGCTGGAATAGTATTCCCGCAATTTACGCTTTAAAGAAAACTTACTTTAGATAAAGAACCATGATTATTGACTTTACCATCTTTAATTAATGGTGTTTCACATGATAGTTAACAATAGTTAGACCCGATTAAGTGGATTCGAACCCGATTAAGTGAGAAACCTCTATTATTGAGTGTTGCAATGAGGTCGCGATACTTTTTCACTCAATAGAATAGAATACAATAGAAAATCATTTATTTATTCAAATAAACTTAATACAAGCACTTTTGAATAGTCATAACAATGTTTTTTTTAATCTACCGCTCATTCGGAAAGCTGACTTATCAGAAGAAGAACGAGCAAGAAACTTGTGTGTTGCTCTTTTAAACAATCCTTGTAAGTTCACATTTTACAATTTGAAACGTGTGAAACGACATACCTCTGTTAATTTTCGACTTTTCGTACCTGGTGAAATGAAATTTGAATTCTAAGATTTTTTCGATGTTTACCTCTATAATTGGGACTCTGTAGCTCAATTCCCTGTACAAGTGAGACAAATTAATTAGATTGTGACACATTTGTTTACAAACATTTGAATGTTTTTCGCACATGCTTTGTTTGTTAGAACGATTTCAGGTTTTTCCATTTTTAAAAATAGAATAACGGTACATTTCAACGTCCATAAGCGGTTGCCTCTGTAAATGAGACAACCATAATTTTAATGGCACCTCTTAATAATTGGTACGTAATTCTTGGTCCCCTGAGATCCCAATTAACCAAGTTACATTGCATTAGGTTTACTTGATTATTTATATTCTATAATTCCATTTCTACCCGTTATCGAGGAGCTTGGTAACCTTTCACCCGATTGTAAATTCCAACGATCAATGTCCAATACAAATTCCAATCGAAATCAAAATAAGTAGAAAACAATTGTATTATGTATTTTCAATCTTTTTCATACAAAATAACAAGACTGAGATTTATCTAAGGGCATAGCGGGAGTTAAGACTTTTATACGATTTTATATGTCACACACACTAGCGACCCACTTGATGGAAATATATACGGATTGGCAAACAAGTGGTCGGATCACCTTATGATTAATAATAACCGTCACTTATAGGGGATTGTCCATATTACTATTATGGACTGTTGACCCACCACCACTTCCATGCGGCTCGCCCTGGAAACCATCATGATGAATTTCTGGTGATGGTACGACACGATGGGTTAACTGACATGACCTATCTTCCACTAGTGCTTCCGGGAGAGTATACCGTCAAGCAGGTAGCTGTACTATTTCATTATCGGCAATTAGAAAAAAACCGTCTACTATATATAAAAGCACTACGGACATTACGTTATTTCATCATTCAACTTCAACGCAGCTTACAAAACAAACTAAGAGCAAAATTCACAAACTTTGAACGCATACATAAATATGTTATGTATAGTATAATCTACAAACTAAAAATAATTTTCAAGCTTCTAGCTTTACATATATCTAAATGACGATATTTCCGTACAACCTTGCCATCCCCCTTTCAACCCCTTCTTTTTTCGCACTAGAAAGTAGCCACAGAGTCTTTATTATCATTTTTTTTTCGGACTACTCTAATGCTGTTGGCCGCAGCTGGCCTTTACAGCTTCACCGGACGTTAGGGGGTGAGTGCAGATGGCACTCCAAACCCGCGGAAGGACTTAGGAGCGATTGAAGGCCAACTCCTGCCTGACGGATACGACTTTAGTCTGAGGGCACCACTAGGGGTTCGAACCTCGGCTCCGGCCGTCGTAATATCGATCCCCGTTTGAATTGGACGGGGGATCGATCGGAGGGATCTTTATTATCTGTGTACCAAATTTCATTTAAATCTTTTGTCGTGTAAGAAGAATTTATAACATTAGTATGGATTGGAGTATAATCATCGATTTTTAATGTAAATTTGTTGCACAGTTAAACTATATAGACTACATTATATCAACTATAACATCAGTAGGTATCAGTTGTGTGTGCATCAACAATAATTCGAACTGAATCTTGCAATATGCAATCCTTTTAATAACAAAATCATGCGCATACGCAGTAACAATGGCGCGTGTTTATAAACTGCGAACAACGTCAGATCTCAAATATCGTCTTTATACCGTTTCAAGACAGAACTATTTCAATAAGTCCAAATCAATTGCTAACAATAAGTATTGTGTCGAAATTAAGAATAATTGAATTATAAAATTATTAATTTTGACGGCATTCGTAGTCTAGCGGTTTAGTACACCGCTTTACTTCCGATGGTTGCTGGTTTGATTCCTCGCATGGTGCAAACATTTGTATTCATGAGTTTGATTCTATTAGTATCGGTCTGGGTGTTTTCTATATATATTATGTATGTATTTATAAAAAAATCTAAGAATTTATATCAGTCTACACAAGCTCTGCATACCGTGGGACTAGATGGCGCTATGTTAAGCCTCAGATATTTATATATTCTAATTTATATAAGATTATAAGAACATAGCCTACTTTTTATCACAGTCAATCATAATTAGGCGAACGAAGACACGTGCAGTAGCTA